TAACAGTCAAATTACTGGTTCATGATTAAATTACTGACCTTCATCTCTAAATCTTTGAGCTCTAACTTGCATGGCCGCCCCAGTAATACGCTTGTAAGATGGTCTGATATTCAGAGACAGGTGACAAGGTAGTCTAGATAGAGGATAAGCCATATCTTATATCTTCAATTCCTAGATGTTGCTCCAACGAACGATTTTTCTCTGTGACACAGAAATGAAACTAGGGCTCCTTCTTTGTGCTTGGTCTTCTAGAAAAAAAAAAATACAGAGCTGATCTTATTAATTCGAGGGTTTAATTAATAACCTTTCAACTTCAAAGAGCATTGCTGATGGAGGACCTTGAGCCTGCTGTGCTGAATATATATATGCACGCTTGTTTTATGTCCTTTTATGCGATATAAAATATGGTTTATAGCTAAGACAATATTAGAACCTTCATTCAAGAAAAAAAATGTGTTTAATGATGTATAATCAGTCCAAAAAAGGTTAAATCACGTCGGCCATAAACAAATTTTTTTTAATGACCATAGACAAATCTGGCTACAGCCTCCTGCTTGAATGTTTCAACATACAGTTTTTTAAAAAATGCAAATAAATTAAATTATTAAATAAATTATCAGATGAGCATTCCACCCCTTTGGGTTGACACGCAATTTTATCTATTCTAGCCTGGACATTGACTTGGTCTTGGAACAAAGTAATCAGTCTTTTTTTTTTTTTTAGTTTTTTTCAATTAATTACTGTGCGTCTCTCGCTAGGCAAACCGCATTGGCTATTAGAAATATTTAGAGTACTTTTTATATTTTGATACTCGCAGAGTTGTTATATTGTAAAGTATTTTTTATTTTAAAATATATATAAATAATATGTTTTTTATTTTTTTAAATTTATTTTTTACTTCAGCACATTAAAACAATTTGAAAACACTAAAAATATATTTTAAAAATAATAATTTTTATTTCAAAAATATTTTTAAAATCTAGAAACAAAGGTTATTAGAAATTATATATATTTAAACAATAATTAAGTGATTAGTACAGTACCGAATTTAATAGTAATTTGTAGATATATTATCTTTGACATAATTATGCCATATAAGATTTGTAGGAGACACAAGCCGATAAAACTTGGTTTGGTCCCTTTGAGAGAAAATTGCTCCAGAATAATGAGAAAGAAAAAATTATTCGGTTTGGTCATTTTTTTTAATGATAAAACTCAGTATTTATTGGTATTAAAAAATTCTATTTAATTATTAAAATTTGATGATGATAATTATTTTTTCTAAATATTTTTAAAATAGAAGATTATATTTCATTTTCATTTTTTAATTAATTTTTTATGTTTTTTTGAGGTGTTTGATATTAGTAGATGATGAAAGTGTTAATAATGCTTTGAAAGTGTTTTTAGATAAAAATAAATTATAAATTATATTTTCAATTTAAAAATCTCTCCTTTTTTTACTTAAATTGGCCAATCATCATAAAAATGTTTATAAAATCAACAGAAAAAAAACTTAAATTACTTTCCAATCAGAATTTGAAGTTCAATTAAGATCTCAAAATATTATAAGCAATGCTAATAAGTATTATATATATATCAGTCACAAAAAAAATGTTAAAGAATTTAAAATTTAAATAAAAAAATGAAGTTAAAGGAATTTGAATTTTTTTTTAAAAATGAATTAAGGTTTTTTTCTATGATCCTAAAATAATAAATTCAAGACCAATATATATAATATATAAGATACATATGCTATAGTAAAGTAACCATGTTAGAAAGTAATTATATCTTTCATGTTACTACTTTAGCAAATTATTTAAGAAAAAATTTAATCTAATAACAAATAATTTAGTATCTTTCATGTGACTACTTTAGCAAATTATGTAAAAAATTTAATCTAATAACAAATAATTTATTTGTTTATCTTTTTAAAATTGATAAATTCGAAATCATAAAATCTAACGTTAACTTTGAAAAGTTTAGGGTAAAGAAAAAAATTTGAGAAATCTTCGCGGCTCAGTAAATAAATAAAACATTCTAGAGAGAGCCTCACTCGTACAACTCTCTATATAAGCAAAATATCAACCCAAAAACCTAACAGCACGCCTCATCTCCTCTATCGCTCTCAAGAAGCCAATCAACTTTCTCTCTCTAGAAGCAAACTTCGATTTCGCTAGCTCCATCTTTTCAAGGTAAGCAGCCGCTGGGGTTTACTTGGTTCTTGAATAGTTTTAAACTGTTGTTTTCTCGTATATTTGTTTTTTGGATTTAATCGGCTGATTGTTTCTGTTTTAATCTGCGATTATGTTTTCTTTTTCCGATGTTAGATCTAATAGAATCGCTGAATGATTAATAAAAGAATCGATAATTTTGTCTCTTTGCTTGTTAATTTTTGTTGAGTTGGTTTGATGATTAATTTTTGTTGTTTGTTATTAATGTTGTGGAAAATCATGTTTATAACTTCTCATTGTTTATAATTTTGCTAATTATATGTTGTTGAGTTGGGTGATTTGCAATTATGTGCAGTAGAGGCAACTTTGTGTTTTAAGTTTGGCATGCGTCATGATGGTGTTCATGTTCTCATGTGTATTAGTTTCTTGATTATCTTTAAGATGGAGTCGCATATGATTGATTTGGGATCAGTGTTTGCACCAGAGGTCAAAGAGTTTTAATGTAGTGATGCTAGATGCTAGATTTCTAAAGTTTGTGTATTTTTCTTCTTTTATTCTCTATGTTATTTTAGCTCAAAATGTTCCATATAGCCGACCCTGACCAGTTTGGGGTTGAGGTTTGGTTGTTGTAATTTTAGTTTTTGCTTAATTGTTCTTGACATTGTTGATTAAGTTCTTTTTTTGTTTTGGCTGAAGCTCTCTTCTTATCATCCTTTTCAGGAACCTGCAGGTGCTGGTGTTTACAGATTTTCAGGGTGAAGTGTGTGTAAGTCGAGGCTTTTATGTCCATACAGGCCATTTCGTTTTTGGGAAAGATTGGATTGCTTGGAGAGTACACTCCTCCCTTAAGGAAAAAGGGAAGGCCCTTGTCAGACAAAGTTAGCTGTATGCATCTCGGGCCTTGTAAAGGATACCCTGAATTTAGTGGTTGCAGTTGGGTGCAACCTTTCCTGACTACAGAAGAAGAGCCTACTCTTGTTCAAGAATCTCTAGACGACATTGTAACTGCTGCCTACCCTATAATTTGCTTTAAGTGACGCCTGCTGAGTTTGCTTTGAGAGTTTGTTTTACAGGGATCAAGATGGCTTTGCAAAACATTGGTGCTTCAAACAGCGATGATGCCTTCTATAGGTATAAAATGCCCAAGATGGTTACCAAAGTTGAGGGCCGAGGAAATGGCATCAAGACAAATATTGTCAACATGGTTGACATTGCAAAGGCTTTGGCAAGGCCAGCTTCTTACACTACAAAGTATTTTGGTTGTGAGCTTGGTGCGCAATCCAAGTTTGATGAGAAAACTGGAACTTCTCTTGTCAATGGTTCTCATGAAACTGCAAAACTTGCTGGGCTTCTTGAGAACTTCATCAAGAAATATGTTCAGTGTTATGGCTGTGGAAATCCTGAGACTGAGATAATCATCACCAAAAACCAGATGCTCCAGCTAAAATGTGCTGCATGTGGTTTTGTGTCTGATGTAGATATGAGGGACAAGCTCACGTCTTTCATTCTGAAGAACCCTCCTGAATCAAAGAAGGGATCAAGGGAGAAGAAGGCATTGAGGAGGGCAGAGAAAGAGCGGCTCAAGGAAGGTGAAGCTGCTGACGAGGAACTGAAGAAGCTGAAGAAAGAAGGTAAGAAGAAGGGATCTTCTTCGAAGGATGTCCCTCCAAAAGCTAGCTCTACAAAGAAGAAAGCACACGGCTCTGATGAGGAACGAATCTCGCCAACTCATAGCCAGGTTGATGAGAAGGAAGATGTTGATGACAATGATGATGACGATGTCCAGTGGCAAACTGATACATCTCTTGAGGCAGCTCGCCAACGCATCCAAGAACAGTTGAGCGCTGCGACAGCAGATATGGTCATGCTTTCAACTGATGAGACGGAAAAGAAGGCAAAGGCAAAGGCTTCCAGCAAAGAAAATGGCAGTCCAAAAGGTGCCTCACCAGCGCGGGAGGAAAAACCAAAACCTGATAATGGGAGCTCAAGTACTCATGAAACTCTTGTCATTGAGATAAAGGAAAACCTGAAGAAAGGAGCTTCTGCAAGCCAGTTGAAGTCCACACTCAGTTCACTCAATGGATCTGCTCAGGAAAAGATTGATGCTCTGTTTGAAGCTTTGTTTGAGGGTGTTGCTAAAGGATTTGTGAAGGAGGTTGACAAGAAGAAGAACTATCTGGCTGCTGCTGTTGCTCAGGATGAGAGATCACAGTTGCTTCTACTTCGAGCAATTGAAGCATTCTGTATTAAGTCAAGCTCAAGTGCACTGAGGGAAGTGGGTCTTGTCCTGAAAGCACTCTATGATTCTGATGTCCTGGAGGAAGAGTACATTGTGCACTGGTATCAAGAGGGGCTAGCGAGAGGCAACAAGGATTCTCAGATTTGGAAGAATGTGGAGCCCTTCATTAAATGGCTCCAGAGTGCTGAATCCGAATCTGAGGAAGAATAATGTGCTTTTCTCTTGCGTATTTGAAATGGCCAAGTCCGAATCTATCCTGATGTTTTCTCTCTGAACGAATCATTTCCTTCTTCCAGTGAAGTTTTCTTGAACCTAGTAGTTTGATGGAGTGTTGCTATTTTATGTTTTATTACTTTCAAAGAGAGTGCCTATTCGGTATTTCTACTGTTTACAAGTGTCTTTGTCCGGCCGATGTGTTTATTTCGCTGTAGAACTTTCTATGAACTTGTTATACAATCATTGTTCGTCTCTATCGTCATCCCTGTTGTTTTTGCTGTGTTGCTGCATGGTTCTCTATATATATATTCATTAGATAAATTTAGACACAGATCAACAGACTGTTGATCATCCAGTTTTATGCACTACATAAGGAATCAAGAATAAATCTAATGCTCCTTTTCTCGCTTCAAAAGAAATGAAAAAACATTTGTTGATAGCATATAGCATGATGCAATCGAGCAGCTGCTGTTTAATATCAACGTAACTGTACACAAGTTTCCTAACTCTAAATTCTATCCGTTTGATTGGAGTGTAAATGCACAACAATTGATTGTCTTGATTGTGATGTTAAACCCTCTTCAGCACTGACAGAAATTTAGATTCTAAACTTCGACTTGCTGTACACTCGTCATCCTGTCATGTAGAGGTGGCTGCACCGATCACCGGACGTTTAAACATTTTCTTCGTCTGTTTCTGAAAGGGGGAAAGGAGGATCCTAGTGCATAGAGAGAACGAGACGATTAGTATCGTATCTTTAATAATTCCATTCAAAGGTAAACTACACAGGTCAATGGAATGATATATTCTACGAAGTTCTGTAATCAATTTTAGAGCGAGTAAATTCTAAAAGCACACTGAACTCACAGCTTATGCAAAGCCGGCAAAATGCGTTAATCCTCACTAACCTGCTGGCGGCGCCGACGTTGGATAGCGGTAAATGCTCTGACCATGACATAAATAGGCAGAAGGATCCCAACTGTTCTCAATATCAGTAACTGCATAAAAACATAGATTTTAGTTTTTTTTTTTTTTTAAACCCGCGCCATTGGGTAAGAGCAAATTGTTAACATAGATTTTAGTTTTTTTTTTTTAACCCGCGCCATTGGGTAAGAGCAAATTGTATTTTTTTTAACAAGAAGAGCAGGCAAGAGAACATAGCCTTACCATGAACAATGTCATGGAGTATTCTCCGGCTCCACTAATTATGATAGGAAGCGTATGGCGTAAAACCAAAAGAACCAGAAACTGCAAATTAACATGAAACATTCTGGTGAGAACAATAGGATCTTATAGACCAAACAAACATAAGGGTCACAAACACATGCACGACGATAATGCACAGCTGGTCTCAATACTTGTGGCCATTTACCAAACTTGTTGCTAGGGAAAAAATAAGATATCATTGTTTTGGCTGATGAATAACCAGATATTTTAAAGAACACGAGTCCCTAATTGATTAATTAACATTTTTTTAACTCTTAACTGGAAAAGAATCCATTAGCAAAGACGGCGAAAAACTTGCCTTGTCTGTTAGATTTGAGGGACATTCATTTTATTGAAACTAACTGAACCAGAGGATGTGGAAGTAAACTATGAACCTGTGAGATTAAGTTCTACACATGAAGCAACAGGGGAGAGAGAGAGAGTCGTACTATAATAGCAACTATGCGGCAGCACATCACGCTCCTAGGAGAGGGTAAAGTATACTCTTCGAAATCAGAGTCCAAATATTCACGGTCGGTAGTAAACATCGGTATAAATGGAGGAGCATGCAATTCCCTTGTGGGTATCTCCCAATCTCCTCTGGAGATGAAAATCCCAAGCAGATTAGGACTATCACTATCAAAGAAAAGGGAACCAAAACCCCAACAAAAAAAATTGAAACCAAGATTGCAGGAGACATATGGCAAAAATACAGATATACCTGAAATTCATTGGAATTCCACCATAACGAAACAAAGGGCGCGGAGCTGTATAACCAGGCTCGAATTGCTGCAATATTGCGAACATTAAAAAGATGATTACAAACCTTATGTCCTTTTTTCCCCCTTCAAATTTATTAGAAAACATCCCAAAATACAGAGATCACGAAAATCATTTAATTGTGCACCTGATAGCAGATCTCACAGTTAATGTCACCCTTCTCGTTGCACCACCTCTGGACACATTTCCGATGAGCATACTGCAAAACAAGAAAAAAAATAGAAACTTGTAGCCTCGTCTGAAGCATCTAAACCCAGCAGGGGAACTTAATAAGGCAAAACTAGGAATTCAGTTAATATTTTCTTCCTGGCACAAAATTGAACTTGATGTGATAAGATGATACAAGTAAAATTATCATCAAATTTCGCTTCATGCAACTAGACTCCTTTCTCAGGGACCTGCACCCTTTAATAATTAATGGCATGTCATCTTCATAAGACATAGCTTACTCATGTTAAATTTTTGTTGCAAGACATTCTAGTTTCTACACTACAACACACTTCACTCGAGCTTTAATTATTCTACAATCAATTGAGATTGCTCATGCTAAATTTTTGTTGCAGGACATCTTCGTTCGTACAATTACGATGTTCTTTTGCTTTTGTTATACAACAATCAATTGAATAAGACTTGAACTGAAAGTAACAGAAGCATTGTGATAAGTCTAGTGTTTGAATTTTTGGCATCATGCAACGATCAAAATACATGAGGTAAATGTAGTACCAAATTTTTTTTAAAAATCATGTGGTGCATGAGTTTGACGGAAATTATGCCTGTTTTATATGTGAACCAAAAAATGTTCAAAGTAAGCCCCTAGAAAACATTCAAATTTCAAGACAGTAAGAATTTCAGGCATTTGGAACTTCCTAGATTTATCTGAACTGCAACAAAGGTCCATGAGCAAGACTGGCAATTATTTTGTTCGCTAACAGAATATACTGAGATTTTGAAATAAATGGTTCTACAACTTCAGCTAAAACTGACCTTCAAAGTGCCACGGCAAGAACATGGTATCTCCATGTTTTTGTCATCATCCTCGTCATGGCAAATTCTACACTCTTCTAATTCTCCTGTTGATGAACTCATATTTGCAGAAGGTACAGATAGCCACAATCGATTTTGGCTCGCAATGGCAGCTTCAAGGGTGGATTCAGTTAGCAACCCATCCACCAGGAACACAAAATGATCCCCCATCCTTCAGATTGCACAGAAAAAAAAGCAAAGGACTTAGAAAAGTTCCAATCGCAACATGCTTTACAGTACATTTAACTGAACAAAATGACCAAAGGTAAGAATTAAAACATCCTTACTATCTCTGCAACATTTACAACATACAAAATACTATTTACTTTGCATTTCCCTTGTTTTATGAGCAAGAAAACAAAGAAGACGACCCAAAACAATGATACATTTTAAGGAAGTTAATAGATTGTAAATGGAGGCACCTTTGTTCACAAATTTGAAAGACATGATAGATTTTCCTTCAAAGCAGAAATCCAGAAAACCAAACCACAAAAAGATCAATAAAAACAAAAAGATACACAAATACAGCAGTGCAAACTAAAACCGAAAACAACAGAAACTCGGATTAAAAAATAGAGAACCAAGAAACCAAAATTGATTTAAAATAGCAGGCGGGCAGGACTCAAATAATTAAGGAAGGAAGAAAAAAACAGTTTCTGAGGTTAAAAAAGCTATCACCTTTGACGATGAATAGAACTTTTGAAAGGCACAAAAAATGATTGACAACATGTGAAGCTATTAAACGTGACATTAAAGAAAGAGAAAGAAGCTTACAAGAATGGAAATGGGATTTTCTACTAGAGAAGAAAGCAACAATCTTTCTCTCCCTTTCTTTTCTTTCCCTTTCCCTCTTTTGTTTGTGTTTCTTGAAATGAAGCAAGAGATGGAGTGCGTTAGTATGAATAATATTATCACTTGCCCATTATCAAAATCTACGTTATATACTTCTCTCTTTATATTTATGTAAGGAAAAGCAGAGGAGTGTAGAGGGAAAAGTAGGATAGAGAATGTCATAGCAAATTCCCATGACGGCATGACCTCGAGCCTCAAGGCCATCGTAGTAGTATGAGAAATGTGGTGCTTTTTAATTTATCGTGATAACACTGCGATATATTTAAATTTATCATTGAGGTGTCATGATTGCGACTATGATGTGGGGCCGAAGTTGATGTGAGATTGTTGAGAGTATGATGATGGTTGAGTGGGGATTGTGGGCCATGCTTTGGAACTCATCAATGGTGGAAGATCATTGAAACCAAATCCAGGGTATCTAAGCACTTTAAATTTTCTTAAGATTGTATGGGAGGTCCATGATCTGTTTTGGGCCACTTCATTACAAGATGGGGTTGATGATCAATGGTTGATGTTCAATGACTTCTTATCGTGACTGTTCATGGATATAGTACGGCGGGTTTCGATGCATGACTGTATTCAATTTAATTTTGATATTTTAAAAAATATAAATTTAATTTACTTAAATTTTTGAACTTAAACAGGTTAGATGTATTAGATTGAGCTAATTTTTTATAAATATTATATATATTGATAGATTTGATATTTTAATTCTTTTATTATTTAAAAACTTTTTAAAAAATATTGGGTTGCAACTATTGAAACTTTTAAAAAAAAAATATTGGGTTGCAACTATTGAAACTAGATAAAACTCTTAAAATATATATATTAGAAATAACATAAAAATTATCATGATTTTTATATAAAAACAAAACAAAAAATCATAGTAAAGTATTTTATCATATAATTAAAATATAATATGAAACAAAGATATACCAGCAGGGAAATATTATAAAATGTTTTTTGATTTTGTGATTTGAATAGAAAAATAAAATTTCAATCAAGATTCTTGAAATTTTCATTTGCTTTTATAGTTATCAAATATGAAATATTAGAATTATAAAATGCATTATTATTTAATTGGATCAAATTTAAAAATAAATAATTATAATTTCAATAAAGTGAGGAATAGAGAGAATGGAAAGATATTAAGTCAACGAGAATAGAATGAAAATATGCAAGTGAAATTAAAAAAAAAAAATTGAAAGAAAAGGAAGAATATCATATTATCTAAGTTATAGATTAAGTTATGCAAATTGAGTGGATTTTAAAAATTTCAACCCACACTAGGCTTTTAATATTTATTTATTAGATTTTTTAATCTATTGTTATTTATATTATCTCATTATTTAACTGTTTTGAATCGAATTAAATAATACAAATATTATAAATAGACGTGTTTTCTTAACAACCCTACTTTTCATTAATCTCATGAGAGACAAGGATTATGTTCCCTCCACTAGCTCCAATAGGAATGGAGATACCAAGAATCACAGCTGCTAGATTTGCTGGAGATTGACTTGTAAAATGAGTTGATTAGTAGGGTTAACCAAGTTATATATATATATATATATATATATATATATATATATATATATATCAAGTCAATTACATTATATATAAAGTCAATTACATTTGGTTAGGCCAATGTTTTATTCCATAATCTTCTCATTTTACATAGATAGTAAACTCTCATCTAACTTTTTTAATATAAATCTCAAAATTCAAACTCAAGAAATTTTGTTCGCGTCATGCCGACTCTTTGAAATTATTGTTTCATTTTGATATGTTATAATCCAAGAATAAGAGTAATTCCTGAATTTGGATGGAAAAGAAGGTACCATGTAGGCCATTAGTATCATTGCAATCTTAGCTTGATTTACAATTAATTAGACAGCTTGATATACATGAATTTTTTTAAAAAAAATTAAAATTATTTATTATGTTCAGGCCTGGGTTAGATTTTTGGTTGGATTTGAATCGAGTTGACCAATATCAATATCAAATTTAATTTTTTGTTTTCAAGTTTTAGTTAGACTCAATTAGGTTTAAAAATTTATTGTCCATTCGAATAGGTTTTTATATTTCATGTTATCTTACTATAAAATATAATATAAGGAATGAGTGTACATCAATTTTTTTTTCTCAAGAAAAAAACTTGGGGCTATAAATAAGGGTTTATAAACAAAATTTCAAAAGATTTAGGATGGCTATGGCCACCTCTAGTCCCACCAAACACTTCTTGGAAAAAATAATTGTATTTGATAAGTGCCATTTTCTGGTTATTGAAAGATTAATAAATATAAGATTACACAGTAGGCATATATGTTCTTATATAAGATTAATAAATATATATTTTCTAGAAAAAGTTCAATTCAGTCCCTGTGATTTTCCAATAATCTATTTCAGTCCTTATCTCTTATTGGAGAGTTTTTGTACATGGTATTATAGAAGCTTATTCCACCCTATATAGTCTAAAGCATTGTAACCTAAAACCTCAATTTCACGCTCCAAAAGGATGAAAATAGCACTCATAATTTCATAAAATAATTTAATTATAATCATATTTAAATAAAAATCAATAACCTTAGCCTAAACATTATTATCGGATAATGACATTGGTTAACCATATCCAAAGTATCCCATATCGAATAATCATCTGGTTATCTATTGTACATTTAATCCTTTTCAACAAGACTCAATTAAATAAATAATTTTATTTCTTAAAAGGTAATAATTTTAATAAACTCGAATATGTATAGATAAAATTTTAATCTTTTTTAATTAATTTTTTTAGTGTTTTTAAATTGTTCACTGATATTAAAATTAAATTTTAAAAAATAACTAATTATGTATAGATAAAATTTTAATATTTTTTAATTAATTTTTTTAGTGTTTTTAAATTGTTCACTGATATTAAAATTAAATTTTAAAAAATAAAAAATATTATTTTAATATATTTTAAATAAAAAAAAACAACTCGAGACACTATTCTGCAACCACCAAATGCTCGGTATCGTGGGGCTCCCATGATCCTACATTAAGGGGAAACAACTATACAAAAGTGACCGACCAACCTAATCAAATAAAAATTAAAATATTTAACAATTGTCTCTACCGAATGTTTATAAAATAAACAGAATTTTAGCATTAAATAAAACATTAAATATACCTTTTCAGCTTATACTCTGTAAACCGTTTGCCGGTTGGCTGCATTCCCAAACTATACCTCATTCTAGATCTCTCATTTTTATTTTCTTTCTTTTTAAAAAATACATTTTGCGAATCTCCAATTTAATTGGTTGGAGCGAGTTATCAAATGCAAATATATATATATATATATATTGACAAATTTGTTATACGGAAAATTACTCTAAACATTTTATAATTTAATTATTTTTTCACTTATCCTTTGTATTTTTAAAAACTATAATTTATATTTCTAATAAGTGTAAAATAAAATAAATTATAAAATAATTTAGGATATATATAGATTATTACCCATGCAGCAAAATTTACGATGTAGATTATAAAAAAATTATAAAAAATAAATATAAAAACAAATAAAGTATTCCTGGAATATTTTAGACCAAATGGGGAAAGATGCTATTCCATCACTGGATGAACTCAAAGCTTTTAGCTGTACGTATCAAGTGTAATTCTAATTCAAAGCACCAAAAAGTTTGGGGTCAAAATCTTTTTTTTTTTAAGCAAAATAAATTAAATGAAAAGGTAAAGGGCAGTTCAATCAAGGGTAATCTCTCTCCAATAAGAGGTCCGATGAATCTTAAACTATGCAAAAAGAATAATTTTTATCTATAAGTTCCATCTTATTTCTTTTTAAAAAATATTACAAGACTTCAATTGAAAATTAATCTCATGACACCATGATGTTCTCTATCAAACTCTCCTCTTATTATTATTATTTTGGTGTATAAAGACAATTGATATTTGAATATATTAACTTTAATATTGTTTTTCCAAATAAGACAATTGATATTTGGATATATTAACTTTAATATTGTTTTTCCAAAAAATATCCGTACTAGTGATTTAATTAGAATAAATTTTTAAGCAGCTCGTCTCAACGATATAAAACTTCTCAAGTCCTGTAGGCTCCTACACAACATGGGAATCCCATACGAACTTCTTGAAATAATAGTCTATCTAAATTTATGATCGTGGGGTATTGTTGCTTTCATGCACAACGTCACTCAGTTTTCTCACCGATCGCTCACAATCTTACCCGTAGGCCAGAGCTTGATAGGGTTTTCCACCAAATTAGTGTCGGCAGCCGATGGAGTGACATGAAATAGGGCAAATACTTAATGAGGCACATGCATCAACAAGGAGGAGGTTGTGAAAGGGATTGATTGAATCTAGTCAGAAGTCTGAACTCCACATGAGAATTGTATACTGAGAAACCACACGAGGGATTAGGTTTTTTATTGCCATGTCGCAAGCAGTACTTTCACTCTGGCAAGCATGGATGTGCTTTGCTTCGTCACTTGATTACATTAAGAGGGTAGATCAAATCTCTCTTTCATGTCTTGTCAATATTAAGATTCATTCCCCAGATCTCACTTTCATATTGTCGTCAACATTTGTGCTCGGAATATAGGCAAAGGAAAGTGTTAGATGGATCGAGTTAATTCATGGTGGTCTCCTAGCTACTACTAGATTTAAATATGATCTTAATTTCCACTTGGCAATAAATCCTGATTAACCATTTATAATGTAGAGGATTAATATTTTGCTACTTGATATATATTTCTGAAAAATATTGTATTGATCTAAAACAGTAGGGAGATCTTGCTAAGAAATTCTAGTTATCTACTGCTCCTATCTTGAATGAAAGGAGGCCTAAAGATGTAAATTAAGGTAAAAGCATCAACATCTTGGCTTTACGGATAGACCAATTTGCGAACATGGGTGTGGTGTTCTTGTTGGGAGCTGGTTCTGTTGCCAAACACTTGTCATGCGCGCATGCATGCATTCTCAGGTCCTGGTACTGACCCTAAGTAGTTGTTTGGATCCTAATAGTTTATCAACATTAATTGTGCCCACCTCGTTATTGGGACCATTAAATGATCATGCTCATAGAGAATCTCATTCATTAGGATAGCTGCTACTGTTCTTAGTACAGATTATGTTTCCTTATGCTATGCCAGCAACCGACTGGGAAAATGAGGCTAGCTGCTGTGGCCTGTAGGTCGTTCCCCTTTGTGGCTGTAAGCATTGAACTCGGTCAATTCATCTATAATGCACTTGTATCTTCATAGACATATTGTCATAAGAAACCTTCAATATTCTCTACCCAGTAGCTGCACGCAGATACAGAAATACTGAATATATACCAGTATAACTCAGTCACCGGCCTGGAGTGCGATGCTGTATTGAAACAGGCCACATCTCAACTCAAGTCCAAATATGTGAGAACTGGCATCTCAACAACTCTATATGTGTGGACTCTATTTTGAAAGTTTACAGCTTTTTTACATCTGGCCAAGGATCAACTTCGAAAATTCAAGCCGGTTTGCCTGGTATTTATTTGTTATTGGGTTAGATTTAGTCTACTCGCGAGGGAGGGATAAGTCTATTTAGAAAAGTTATAAAAAAATAATTATATAAGTCTAGTTCAAGTATTTAGAAAAGTTATAAAAAAATAATTATTTTTTTATTTATATAAATAACAACATAATCCATATAAAAATATAAGTTTTTATTATTAAAAGAATATAATTTTTTTCTTTTCTTTTCTAATCTTGATTCTTTACATTTATTTGATAAGATTTATAAAAATATTTATTTTGTAAAGTATTATCTTGATTCTTATAATTGAAATAATATTAAAGTAATTAATCTAGAAATAAGAAAACTAATTCAGTTTTTTTTCCTCATCTACAACAGTGATATTGTATATGGCAACACCTCCAAAACCGCTACTGTATTTAGCCATAATTGACTAACTACATATCTTACGAGGTTAAGGAGCCCTTTCATACCAAAACATGTCTTCAAGCTCTAAGGAGTAACTATCCCTTTTCTCAGATCAGATGGTCTAATGCATAATACCAGTATTTATTTACAAAATAAAAGAATTATAGTGCATCTGAAAATGAAAAATCAAGTTTTTGAATTTTAAAACCAAATTCTCAGTGTTTCTTTCATCTAAAAACATTTTAAAATTTGTACACCATCTATATATGTTTGCCTTTTGATTGGTAGCTACACTTGATCTCTGAATACAAAGAATTTTATTAGCTTAACATAATCCCGTTGCTTTCTAATTCAAAGCAGCTAGGGTTCTTTGCCTGGATAAATGGGGTTATAAGTTCTTCTGGAAACAAACTAGCTACTGCTGTTTTTCACCTTCTCGTGTAAACGTTTGCGCATGAGAGTTCACCCATTTATGGACAAAGATACGCTTCTACCATCAAGAACAGCATGGTTAAGGCTGTAGCTGATAACTCGATGCTTCGTGGGTGACATCAAAAGAGTGGTTTTTTTAATTTTTCACTCCTGTTGAAGGTAGATTCTTGCAGTAATGGGCTCAAATATTACAGTGGTCTGTAAACGTGACCCAAACAATATTTTATTAAAAAAAATTCTTTTATTATTTTACAATGTTAATGTATAAAATACTATTTTAATATATTTTTAAATTAAATAATATTTTAAAAAATGATCCATACCAGCAAAGCACAAAATAGACACATGGGCTTAAAAACATTCACGAACTTTTTCTTAGACAGGAAATACATTAAATTGTTTTGGGCAAGGGCCATCTCTTACCAGCCCGACCCACCGTTAGTGCAAAATTGCAATTACCTTGTTCATCCTCTCATTATCGCCTGTGTCACGTCACCCACCGATCTTGGAACATTTTTATGTCTTGGGATTTGTTTCGCTTCACAAGTCCATGTCCTCGCGTGTGAGTGTTGATAAAAATTATTTCTGCAAAAAAAAAAAAAACTATTGTGGAATAAAATTATTATAAGGTTCAATTTGAAAAAAGAATTAAAGAAAAAGGATTGACATTAACAACATAAAAAAGAGGGGTTTTTTATGTTTTAATGTTAAAAAAGTGTATTTTTTTACACTTTGATACTAAATTTTTTTAAATTTATATTTTAGTAACAAAATTTTATTTATTTTACTTTTCAATTCATAATAGTTAAGAGATCAGAAATAAACTCATCAGGAAAAAGAGAGAAATGAAATTTTATTTGTTTTTACTTTTTTAAAGTGTTTTTTAAAAAATTAAATATTTTTATTTATTTTTTTTCATCAAATTAATATTTTTTTGATATTTTTTTATATTAAAAATAATTTTTAAAAAATAAAAAATATATTTTTAATATATTTTTAAATAAAAAATATTTTTTAAAACAATTGCAACCACAATCACAAATATACATAAAAAAACTTAATTTGGTGTTAGTAAATTTATCTTTACCTGAAGAATTTAATGGAGATGATTCTTGTTTTCAACAATTCTAGAAAAACATAGATGAGAGTATGGAGTATGAAAAGTTTGTTTTAATTTAATTTTTAGATTTTAGGTTAATTAAAGTATATTTTGCTCTTTTAAAAAGAGAAGCGCATTTGAGGTAATTTGTTTTTAAAAAAAAAACCACCTTGAATTTAAAAACACATACAATTAAATGTAGCTTAACAATAAATACCATGAACGCACCTACCAGTAAATTATAACACATTAACTTTATTAAAAGTAAATATTAACTTATTAAATTTTAAATTTATTTTTATAAATTATCAGTTTAAATTTTATAAATTTTAAAATTATTAAAAGTTTATATAATTATTAATTTTAGAGTTCATAAAATTAGTTATTTTGTAAAAGAAAAAATTATAACACATTTGACATTAATTTTCTTTCATTCTTTAAAAAAATATTCTCAAATTTGAATCTATTCGTTCTAACCAATAAAAAAAGAGGGAGGAATACAGAAAACATGACGAGCAGGCACAGCAAATTAAGATTCAAAGACCACCATAGCCACAGGTCCTGTACCTCCAAAACACACAGGAAAGTGACTTCACAAATAAAGCTATAGCATGTGTTGCTGGTATGAGATTTACTTTCTTTGAAAGTGACTTGCTATGGAAGATGAACAGCACAAATTTATAGTTAAAAATTGAAAGCATCATCAGAAAGCAGCAATATGAAACTTCAATCTCTCATATGGGATTTGATTACCCTCAAGTGAAGCATCAAATATTTATTGTTTATTATCAGTGAAAAGCCAACTTACAAGTCTTGATTCTTTATTAATTTTCATTAAATTGACTCAAGGAGTGGCATTTACTCCTATTCATTGTTAAAACTTCGATCACTCTTACATGGGATTTGATTACCTTGAAGGCCACCATGTTATATAAGTTAGTTTGATGCTCAACTGCCTGATGCATTTTGCCTTGTGCAAGGCAATGTGTGCTGGTAAACAAAGCAAAAGGCCCTTGATAACTCTGGTAAGGTAAGATTAGCCAAAATCGCATCATCAAGCAAGAATTTATTCTCCGGAGGTTACAGTAGAAACTATTAGTCAAAATCGCATCATCAAGCAAGAATTTATTCTCCGGAGGTTACAGTAGAAACTGCAGAAAGCAATTGAAATCATCCCATTGATAAATCCAGTATGATCACATATTATGACTGAAATCAGCCCTCAAGCGTCCATATAATTAAATTAATGACTAGGCCATCCTCAAAAGCCTTCCTTGGCCGGAAAAAAATCTGCAGAGTTAAAACTTCTATTCAGATTTCAAGAAACTCAGATGTGTAAAGATCAATGCACGATCCAGCACACAGGCAGCATTAGGTGTACCAGACCCTTAAAAGGGTTTTCCAAACTCATTTACATATGACCAGATATTAACTTCTATTTTGATTTTCAGAAGATGATTCATACATGATGAAGATTCCATTGGAATGCGAGATTTCTTGAATGAATTTTAAGATAATTATGGAGATGTATTTTGTAATTATTGTGATTATATCTTAGATCATACAATAATCTATCTATTTTATATTGAAGACTTCAGATGCTCATGACACATGTAAGGCATCCCACATAATATGCACTAAAAGAACCTTAAAAGGTTGAGAGGTAAAACAATTCAGAATCAATCAGGAATTTTGAGCCTATTATTAGCAAGCATCTATCATGCCTGCTTAAAACTACCCAAGATACCACCATCTGTCTACTCTGAGAATGGTTCAGACCGTAGACATGTGCAAGGAAGCCTAGAGATCTTGTACATAGCATAAAGAGGACAACCAACAAAAGTTTGGGATCCAATGCTGAGCATTCAGGCTCTCTCTAGGACTCCACGTAGTTTGGTTTCAAATGTTCTTGTCTTTTCCTGTCTACAGGTTTGGAATGACCTCAAACAAGGTGAGTTAACTAGGTGTATCAAGATATATCAGCAAGGAAATAGGGCAGTGAAAATGGAGTCCAGCAACAGAACACATTCCCGACTTCTGTATGTTATATCCTCTAATAACAAAGCGGATGCAGGACCTGCTAATCAATGACACCATCAGGCAGGGCTTAACACTTGCTTGGAATACCTATATAATTCTTGTGTGTTTCAAACGGGCAATATGTTCAGATGCAATTACTCGATGGTTTACGTACCTAATCCTATCGATTTTGTAATTTTCATTTGATAGTTCTAGACTTAAGATTCCCATTTACCACTTAAGCTACTACCAACACGCTCTACAATTATGGCCTTTCCAATCTTCTGAAATCTGCAATTCCTATCATATGCAGTTTTAATTCCTTTGATTAGTATTGGCCAACCCTGTTAACAATTACACTTATCATTCATACTCAAATAAGGCTCTGCATTCATCTTAATCAGAAACTTGCATAGTGCATAAAAGTATTTGGGAAACATCAAACATGGAGGTTTAAGAAGAACCTTAGATGTATGAAAGCAGCAGCTTGAAGTAGACAATCATATATATTGAAAGAGAGACGACGGCGCACGCATGCTGCCAGAAGAGGAGTGCTGAAGCCTCTTTAACTGCGTAACCTCTCAAGCTTGCAATAGCTCCCAACAAAATGGCACTAGGTGTTGTGTATTGCAGCAAGAGAACAAACTGGTACAAATGGTTCCCGGGGATTAAAAGATTCCATTTATCAGCCAAATAGATGACCCCAATTCCAATCACTGGAAGCACCAAAAGCCTTGCAACAATAATGCCAATCGTGGTCCGAATCCCGAGTTTCGATTCATTTGGACCCTCACCAAGCATTCCCCCAAGAACAAGCATGACTGAGGGGACTGCGGCCTGAGCCATCATCTCTAAACTGTCTGTGATAACCTGAAGCGGAGCATCAGCACCGTAAACAATATGTTTGAGAGCAGGAATCACACCAATGACAATAGCTAAGAAAGAAGCAATGGTTGGAGGCTGGAGAATTTGATGAATTGGTGTTTGTTCAGCAACCACTCTAATCTTTCTAACCACCCTAGGCTCTGCCAAGCACCTAATGGACTCGGGATTACGTTCACAACCCTCCTCTCCTCCCTCTTCTATTGTTCCAGTATCAGGAATATTTCTTTGTGAAATGTTAGAGATGCTATTGAAGAGCCTAGCAATGACAGGTGTCTTGCTATTTTCTGTTCCTTTTTCTTCTATTCCTGGCCACTCAGCTTCTACAAGGAGTGGATTACTGAGATCAACAGGCATTTCCTGAATCTCTTCATCAACAATCTCATACTGCTCCAATGGGGGCTCCATCATGTGGTAAACAAGAGTGTAAACAAGAATAACAGAAACCCATTGAGAAAAGGATACATAAGCAATACCATTTCCGTAACAATCGGGACCAAAAGGAGCATCAGAACTGTGACACACCGACGAAACTATTGCAAGTGGAATATTGCCAGTGTTGCCAAATGCAGTCATGATGATTGTAAACCGAACAAACTCCCTTGGTGGCCGGCATATAATCGCCACCAAGCATCCCAATATGCAACCAATGGCAGTGCTAATGATCACATTTACAGGAATGAACCACCACTGAACAATGTCCTTGAGAGTAATGGATGGACCAAGCTGAGTGAATATTAAGCAAGGCAAGAACAAAGCAAAAACAAGCTTGCTAAGGAGCTTGAAAGTAGCTTTAGGGACAAGTTGAATTTTTGGGTGAGCAAGGATTAAACCAAAGAGAGTAAGGGCTATAAGTTTCAACAGAGGTACAATTGCAGCTTCCACAATCTCTCCTTCAGATTTCATATTTTTCTGAACCGAAGCAAGATGAGCCTCCATCTTTATCTTCACTTTCACACACTCCTGCAAATCCAAAAGTAATAAGGGATTGAACCACACAAGTTCCAAAACAGCTTTACAGGACAAGGAAAAGCAAACATAAGGGGTTCATGCCAAAGGGGTTCTGTCAATCAGCTGGTCAAATCATGCAAAACTTGGTTTTATCAAACAACGCGCAATCATAGAAGGAAAATCCCAACAAACTTCACAAATGTTACTAAAAAAAGCCCCTTAAACCCCACTATTATCATGTAAAAGGAACTAATGTGGGTCTGATCCCAAAGCTATGATTGAACATCCTAACGAAACGGAGACTGAAAATCTTGATAGGGAAGTTGAAGAAAGATATATAAGTTCGAGGTTCATACGGGCTGGTAAATCAAGAACGTTCTAAAAAGAGAGAGAGTGTGTGTAATAGAAGCAGGATCGATGATCGTGATTAACTCTATGGTCGTTAAAGCAATAAACTACGACTGCATGATGGAGTCCGTGTTCATCTTTGATTTTTCTTTACATTTAATTTGGCTGGTTGTCGATAGGTCAACCACTTGTTGATTACGTAAACTGTTTGATCTGTATGCTTTTCAGAAGTATATTTATTTAAAATAATTTTATATTTATATTTTAAAAAAATATTTTTTTAATAATTTAGATAAATAAATATTAAAAATAAAAAAATATATAATTATTTTAATATATTTTTAAATAAAAATTACTTTTACAAAATATCATATATCAAAATAATTAAAATTAAAATTATAAATTAAAAGGTTAATTCATATGTTCATATTAATAATAAAAAAAATAAAAGAATGCACTTAAATCATATCAATGTATATATTCATCTCTTTTTCTTATTTCCACATAATCGGCTTCTGCGCCAAGCTCAATAAATTTTCATGCCTTAAAACTGTGAAAATCAAGTTCTAAATAATGTTCGCTGTCCCAAGCAATCTTTTCTCGAATAAATCTTGTAAATTCATGAATTACTTTACCTTCATAATAAATTGAAATATGTTATTTTGAAGCTATATAAATTGTGAAGTGATTTACATTCTCCAAGTAACTAAGAGTAGGGTATAATATTCCAGGATTTCAAATTCTAGATTCAAAAATCACATGTAGCTCTTTTCCACTATTGCGTAGCTCATAATTTATTTGGATAAATGGCATATCAAATAAAAAACCTTATAAAGTATAGCAATTTTTTTTTTAATAATTATGACTTGTTTGGTACAGCGATCTAATCGAGTTTTTAAAAATTATTTTTTTAATATTTTTAAATTGTTTTGATTTATTATTATTAAAAATAAATTTTATAAATATATTATTTTAATATATTTTAGAGTGAAATTATGGTCCAATTATATTGTTAAAAATTTTTAAAAATTATCTTTGGATATTTTACATTATTTTAATATGATAATATCATAAATAAATTTTAATAATTAAAAAAATAATATTTTAATATATTCTTAAATAATAAATATACTTTCCGTGAATCTAACAACCTATTTGCACCTATTTTAGCTCATAAACTACAAACCCATTTTGGATAAATGAAAGGCCTTATATCGGATTATAAAAAAAGTACAAATTTCAAACTAGAAGCCAGATCCTGGCTATCTAAAGTTGTCTAATCATTTATTTTTCAAAAGCTTACTTTTTTTTGTCTAACTTTCAAAATATTTATTCAAATCATACGAGACCGCTTTCACTTACATCCTAATTGTTGCATGTGTAGTACAGTGATTGTTATCCTCTCATGTATTATGTATCTGTCTAGTAAAAATATAAAAAACAAGAAATTTTTATTTTTTATTAATAAAAACATAGAATGAAAATTATTATTTAATATTTTAATTACTAAAAATCTTAATTAATCTTAAAGATTAGATACGAGGGTTAGTTACATAAAAGATTGGATATGAAAGTTGGTTTCATAAAAAAAGATATTAGTATCTAAATACATCATACATAATGTAAACTATATTATTTTATTATCTGATATATATTATGATTGTATCTATATTTATAATTATTGGTTTGTCTATGGTTTAAGAAAAATCTTTATTGGTAAGGAGATTCTTATCTTATCGAGTAAAACCTAATCATTCTAACGTCAACAAAAGAACTATCTTTTTAATATCGAGAATATATTTTATGTATAAATTTGTAATTCTTAGTATTAAAAGAATTTTTTTTTTTAAATATTGACGAAATTCTCGTGACTTTAATAAATTAGTTATTAAAATCAAAATGCATGCTAAAATATTTTTTTTTGAAGTTTTTTTTATTGTATGAAAATACAATATAATTTTTTTTTTTTTTACTTTTAGAGACATGGCTGTATACATAAAAACAAAAATATATATGTTTTTAATGTTTCGATAAAAATCAAGTATTTTAATATCAAATTTATATTTTTATGATATAAAAATACAAATCAATATTAAACAAAATTCAGCATAAAAATACATAGAAAAATCACAAATTTTTTTAATTTTTTTACTAGGCTAGACTTGGCTCACTCATTTTGGGTTGAACCAAACTTGTTTGACCTGGTGAATATTTGAGCACTCCTCCACTGTTCACATGCTATGTGAACAGTGGAGATGATGTTGGTGGAGGTAGAAGGTAGGCAGGAAGGTTACCTAACGGTGGCGTTGGCAGTGCTAGTGGTGGTGGCGGATCACGGCGGTTCTTCCTCTTCTCCTGTGTACTTCCTTTTCACTCCATTGCATTTCCTTTCTCTTCTCCTCTTCATCTACCTCAGTTTCCCTTTGTTTTTAAGTTCTTCTTTTATTATCTGCTGGTGATAGTGGTAGCGACTAGGATTGCGGACAGTGGCTAGGAAAACAGGTGGCAGTTGCTATGATAGTGGTTATACGGTGGTTCTTCTTCTCTGTTTTATGTTCCTCCCTCTATCTGTCTTTGTTTTTGCTTCTTCTTCCGTTTCTCACAGTGCAGGTGATGTTATCAAAAACTAGGAGGATGGTGACAGCTAGCGATGACTCTGGTGGTGGCTATGCAGACAGCAGGTGGTTATTCTCCTTTTCTCTTTTGTTTATCTACGTTTCTTTTGTTTTTGTTCTCCTGTTGCTCTTGCTTGTACTGCTCCTTCTTCGATCTCTGATGATGGTGGAGCTGCTGTCATTGGCAGTGCTGCTGGTGACAAGGCTGAATGATGATGGCGCCGCTTTCAATGGTGAAGGGAAAGAAACCATAGAGAGAGATGAGTTATTGTTCTTCTCCCCTGTTCTTTTGTTTTTCTGTTCTTTCCTTCCATTCTCTCATCAGCTCAAGTCTTCCCCTCTCTGTTCATCTACCCTGTTTTCAAAACAATCTTTGTTCCTCTCTCAAACAATCCCCTGTTTCCTTCTCTCTGTTCGGTTCTCTTCTTCAAGTTCGTTTCCCAAAGTTTTTACCCCATCTAGTTTCCTTTTTTTTTTCCTTTCCCTTCCCTCTCCTCAGTGTCGCTCGTTCCCCTATATTTATAGGTAGTCGAGGAGAGGTTCACCATACCCTGTCCAAGCACAGGGCATTGTGGCCAGGGCATAAGTCTTCTGCTTTTCGTCGTAATGGGAGGCATAGGTCTCCTATTTTTCCATTAATGAGGGTACAGGTTGTGTAAGTAGTTAGGCAAACGAGAAGGTAAAGAAGGAGAAGTTGAGCGGGAAAAGGAGATTTAAATCTTCTTCTTCTCTGCAGATATGCAGGAAAGAAGAACATGCATAATGTCATTTAAAATGACACTGTATCCTTTTTTTTTTAAGGGGAGAAGGAAATAAAATAAAATTGAGAATAATCCAAAAATAAATTATGACACTAATGATCTAAAAGTTTTATTTATATAAGATTTATTCATTAAAAGTAGCTTATTCACAGTTTATTTTTGTATTTAAAACTTTATTAGATATATTTTAAAAATATTTTTGACTTGAAAAAATATCAAATTAATATATTTTTTAATATTTTTTTGATAATTTTAATATAATAATGTCAAAAATAAAAATAAAAATCTAAAAATAAAATATTTTAATATATTTTTAAATAAAAAACATTCTACACCAGAATACCAAACACATAAAACATCCAACACATAAACATCCCAATTAATAAGCTTGGATCCCCGAGTTTTAATAAATAAAAAAAAAACTAAGGATTTATTTAAAAAGCTGCATATATGATTGTCTAGTCATTCATTTTTCAAAAGCTTAATTTTGTCTTAACTTTCAGAGTACTTATTAAAATCATGCAAGACCACTTTCCCTGGCTTCCTAATGATCTAAAGGTTCTATTGATATAGATTTTATTCATTGAAAGTGGCTAAAGATCCCAACTAATAAGCCTGAATCCCTAAGTTTTAATAATAATAAAAAACCCTATTATGCATTCAACATGCTAATTAAAATCAGGAGTAAAGACCCACCTGAAAATTGATTAGAGGCAAGGTTTGGCGCAAGTTCAATCCTACTGTTTTTCTATTTAGGAACTATGGATGGGCTTGTGAGTGAAGGTTTGAGCAAGTTTTATTATCACCAAACTGATTAATCGATGAGCATTCACTTGGCCGGAAATTGATAAGATTTCGAGGAAAATCATCGATGGAGACTTGCAATTTTTCTTTGGCATGCATCAATGGGAAAGCCTTGATTTTCATGCTCTTTCTAAGGCGTTTTCACCAATGGGAATGCACTTAAATTCTCTTTATCTTCTGTTAGGGAGCTCTAAGGGCTCTAATATTCCTGGATACAGCTTGATGCAAGATAAGCTTGGACAGTTCCTTACAAACACAACATACTCTGGTTCGAGACTTGAGAATTTCTAACCCACAGCATTCGGAACGCATTTCCATTTATTCAATTCAAGCCTACTGTATTTAACTCAAGGCAATACAAGTCAGAGGTCCTTAGAATCTGCGCACTGTGTACACTACCAGTGTTGTGTGGATATTGGCGCTGGAGCTGTGTTAAAAGTCCTATCCACGCCGTTGAATGAAAAAATAATGAGTGTGGATTACCTCAGTATATATTTTCTACAAAGGATGAATGAAACATGCATATGCAGTCAAATTCGAAATAATCGAAAATATTCTATATATATCAGCTGCATCGCTTGTAAGAGTGTCTTACATCAGTCATCATAGGAGGAATGAGGAGCAGCAGTACATCCTGGATCAAAGGGATCTTCAGACCCACAGCAATGCCAATATTGAAAAACTTGGCCAGAATCAGGAGTATTCATAGTGCCTCCAGTGTATACACTCTCAAACTTCCTCTTTGTTTCCCCTGGAAAAAAGAAAAATAGTTTGGAACAAGTTGACAATAATAGAAAACATGTTTTTAACAGGTAAACAAAGCTCTGAGGACATTATATGCTGAAAAACTTCCAACTCGATTCTCTCCATGCCAACAATCTGATGGAAAAAGTTGAAGCATTGTTTGGCAATGATAACAAAAGCAATGGAACTTGTAATTGATTGTAACAGCATAAAGTGTCCATGCATGGAATC